TCCTTTTTAATAAGAGATAGTTGTCATGCTAAAAGATTGATAGGGACATCAGAAAGAACAGAGGGATGTGCTCCTTGCCTCGCTGGCCTTCCTCCACTAAATACAGAATGTCCTTTAGTGGGGAGCTATCAGACATGAAAGGAGAAAGTTTTATTTCTAAGGGTTCTGCAGCTAGGTACATTTAAGAAACTGCAGCCCCAAGAGTTTCTCATATATTTTTTTTATTATTATATTTTTAATTCAACAAATATTCAGATATCTCAAATAGCTGTCACTGGATGTTGGGAAAGTCACAGTGTTAGAAACATACAATTTTACTGCCAAGTTCAGCTTAAAGTAATTCTCTCCATCTCCCCATTCTTTCCTTATTGATCAAACAGACTGGAGAACTGACCCAGATTAAAGTGTAAAGTCACTTCTAGCTTGGACCAGTGTCCTCAATTCAGTTCACTGCACAGCCCCACAAACCCCCTCAGCAGAGCTGAAGCGATGTTTGGAGCCTGGATCTTGGGGAGAGTGGAACAATGGGAGAGAAGAAAGACAGATTTGGAAAAGTGCCTCTGCTGAAAGGACTGCTCAAGGCTACCATCACTTAAGGCATTACAGTTAGGGTTTCTCAATTCCTTCTGCTCAAGTAACACAGAATGCAAGTCCACAGTAACTAATGCATCCATTACACACATTTCACTTCAATTAACACTTTCACTAGACACAATATTGTACAAAACTGTTTGACTTCCACAGCATAGTAAATCCACTCACTCCTGACACTGTAAGCATATATAGGTCCTTTATTTCAAATATTTCTGGTTCATCACAGCCTCCTTAGGAAATCCCATCAGCAAATTTAAGTCAAATAACATTAGCCTTGCATAGTCCCCATGGCAGATTGGGTGCCACCCTGAAGGGACACTACAGCAACAGCCAGCAGCACTTAAAACATTAAGGGGTCATGAAGCAAAATAAAAGCCCTGAGTTTGCAAATATGAACTTTGTTTTCAGGCCTTTCTCAGTGAAAAAAAAAAAAAATGGAGAAGAGTGAGCCTAGACTCATGGAGGCTCTCCTACCTCTGTAGAAGGATAACTTGCAAGACAACTATCTTACCAAATACCCACAAAAATAACTTTGTCCTTCAGTTTTCCATGTAAAACTAAACCCTACAACAGTTCAAAGTAATACATTTTCAACAGTCTATCAAAATACTCTCATGTTATTTTTTCCTTAATTTTCTATCCCCATTTCCTTCATTCTCAGCATTTTGTAAGGACATCTTCATGTGTGTGTTCAACATTACGTCTGTTTGCAAAGTCTGATAAACATCTAAAATATGTTGCTGTTTTCTTTTAAACCCACAATTACAGTTCACTTTACCAAAGGCCACAGCACTTGGCACTTCTTGGTGCCAACTCAACTCAGACGTACCGCGCAATGCAGCTAACTCCCTGGACGTGCCCTCCACCCCCAAATTTTCCACTTAGGCAAATTAATGATCAGGAAAGATGGGATACACCCAGAATACAGAAAACCACTTATTCAGCAAGTCAGAAATGGATACATTGGCACTGAAACTTATAGTTGAAAGTGAAATATATCCTGAAAAGAATCCCAGATTTCAGCTGCCTGCTAGCTACTGTAAATATCTCAGGGATGTCCCTAAGATGATTTTTACTGAGAACAAATGGTAACTTGTTAGAAATAAAGCAGAGGCAGGCTTGATAGGGAATAGACAGCTCCTTTACCCCTCTAATGGACTTATTCCCTTATGTTCAATATTTCTTCAAAAAGGATGTCACTTCCACTGAGAATTCAGCTGCTCTACATTTTAAGAACTCAAGTGTTCTAGTGAAGCCTGACTTAAATTTTGGACGCTGATACAGAAAATGGAAAGAAAAATAAATGTATTGTTATTCAGAATGCTAAAATGCTTCACAATAAAAGAGCAGCTACTCGAAATCCAGAAGCACAGTGATCAAACTAACTGGATTCTCACACACCTCATGGAATTAGTTATGTCCACGCTCTGCATGCCTATCTTTTCACACGTAAAAGAGGACATCTGAAATGCATGTAACTTGAGAGCTTGCCTTGCAGTCATAGCTCTCCTCCCATAAACATAACCAACAAAAATAATAATTAACATAGGTGTTCCATAATCCTTCCAAAACATTTTCTTAGTAAGAAAGTAAGTGAGGTTTGTTTTTCTTCCAGTGGCACAAGCAGGCCTTCTAAAGGCTTTTTTTTTCTTTTTTTCTTTTTTTAATTTAAAAGGATTTAGACAAGAAGAAGCATTTACCACCTCAATTTCCATCTGTAGATAAAATAGATAGAAACCTATCTTGCCATTGAAATAATAAGCAGATTTTTTTTTGTTTAATCACTCTTGTATGGAAAAATCAAATTCAACATATTTGAGGTAAGATAATATGCATAACTGTAGCTACCTTGAGCTGAGAGAATTCAGCCTTCATCTGGGCATTTGATAACACATACAAATAAAAACTTTTAATATATACCATGAGGAATTAAACCATTCTAGAAACAACAAAACCTTGAAACTAAAATTAGTATTGATGCCTGTAGAGGCTTTTTCAGTTGAAAATCAAAAGAAGGTGCCAAAATCTGTAGAAATTCAAAATAAATCAATCTTGATGCTAAAATAAAAGTAATATTTTGCCTTGCATGACAGTATAATTTGCAGAAAACTAGCTCATGATAATATTTAACCTTGGCCTACAATGAAGCACGACTTCATTATTTCAAATTAGTCATTTAAAGTATCAGGGGTAGGTAGAAGCTTAAAAGAAACTCCCAAGGAAGTGAGAGTTATACTTAAATACTTTCTTCCTCATCGCAAACACCTGCATACATACTTACATGAAATTTCTTTCTAAAACTAGTCTTGGAGCTGTCAATGTCATATGGTAATCACAAGAACAGAAGCTCAGAGGTGTATTAAAGGAAATGCTGTATTGTCAACATTCTGAGCCATCATTTAACTATCAAGTAAAATACTACAAGGATACTACCAGTTCACATGAATTATTTGATCAGAAATAAATAATTATCACAGTTTTTGTTCTGGTTATTTCAAAACCTTACTGTTGAGACTACTAGACTATTAATTTTAAAAGGGAATAAAGTGAAAAAAAGTTACCTTACAAACAAAACAATCTCCTATCTCACTGTATGGGGGGGAAAATGCCAACCAATAAGGTTGAGAGAAGTTTGCCTAAGGCAGGATTTCTAATTCATCACATAGAATTCAGTACAAAACTTGATGGATATTGACGATTCATCTCACCTACAGCTATCACAGCTGTTATATAACTTTTTTTTGTTTTTAATAGTATTTCCCTTTCATTTCTCCTGCATCCTTTGCTGCATGCAACAGGCTCCCAGAAAGAATGAGGCAACCAAAGCTAAACCTTCAGTACAATAGTAAAAGTAGCATTTGCACGTGTGTTCTTTTCCTTTCTTTTGCTTTACCATTTGCAAACACCATGCTAATACTAGAGGGGTCACGTTTCAGAGGCTGATCATTTAACATATACTCAGGTTCCCATCATGTTTTTAATCTTTGCACAACATTCCCCTAGAAGCAGGCATCGTATTACAGCAGTATTAGTGATGAAATGTGCAGACTGCTTGTGCCAAGGGCCAAAATGCCAAATTTAGAATTTGGTTTGTAAACATAGGAATCTCACTGGCAAAACTGGAAAACAAACAGAATTCACTTAGGCTTTTTTGTTAACCGTTCAATAGTAATAGATGCACAGGCATAAAAACTAGTATGTTGTTCTGGACTGCAACTCTACTTCATGTTCTATCCAAACTTTACACCTACATGAGATTTTCTCCTCAGAAAAGTTACTACTGCAGCCTTATTGGTTAAAACACAGTCTGTGTAGCGGGTGGGGAACTCTCCCCCCAGTAACAGGAGCATGTCAACAGTTCACTAACAAATGCATTTGAAATGCTAGATCCAAATTAAAACTGAATACCAAAGCCTTTCACATTACATCTTAAACGCAGAAACAGTTTTCAGAAATATACAGTTTAAATCTTCAAAATTCAGGAAACCCATTAAGAAAAATACTTGGCTTGGGCTTCTCCAAAAGGCATTATCACAAAGAGCTCTTTATTGAGTACATAGCTCTTCATCAAAATTAGCAGACTTCAAAATATTCCAGAAAAGCCATTTAGCAGTTTAGCATCAATCTCATATTGAAGCACATCTAGTTATAGCTTCTTGATGAAAAATCACAACGTCAAAGAAAAGAAAACAATTCAGTAACAAACCAAAGCCAACTGCAATACGTCTTTTGAACAAAACAAACAACAAAAACATACAAAAAATCCATTCTTCTGAAGCCAATCAGAGAAATGTGAACAGTAACAGCAGGATTGCCCAGTACAGACAAAGGACAATAACAGACCTATCAAAAAAGCTGGTTCTGCCAGGTTAATGATCCAGGTTAAACAGCTGAGTTTTCCCACTGATTTCCATCACAGCGAGCAAAGTAAATTTATTCAGAGTTTATTTAAAACTTCCGCCTCTTGTAAAGTAATCCTTTGCTCAGCTTAAAAGAACTGCCATGGAATTCAGTAGAGAATGATACAATAAAGCAAAGATATAGGTTATAGGCTGAACAAATTAACCAAGAACCAGAATCTAATCCTTCAATAAACCTGTTCACAGATGGACACATTTCACAAATAGGTTTCCAGTTTTGCTTTTATAACTTAAAGATCATTAATTTCAACACACATGCAAGATCCAGTGCATTCTTTTGGATACTCATGAAATCTCCTTACTCATGTCTCTGATCAGATGGTACAGGACTATCAACAGATCTCAATATTCAGAAGATGAAGGCAGTCATGCTTACTGTTATGGTAAACACTTGTTAGTAGCTTAAACACTTTAATGGGAATTATTTTTACTCCAGCAAGTAATTCCCTCTAATTCCAACAGAAATCTGGAGCCAAAATTGCTTACCTGTGGACATAATGCAACTGATGCACAGAATCGATGGCTATCACCATTTCAGCCAAATAAAAACGAGCCATATCTTCAGGTAATCTGTCCTCAAACTTGCTGAGCAATGTAAGCAGGTCTCCTCCAACGTAATAATCCATAACCAGGTACTTTGGTGTGAGGAAGATAAGAAAACAAAGGGAAGAAACAATTTACTGAGTGAACTTGAAACTAAAACCTAATTGATGTATAAGAATTAATTTATTTGTTAATTACAAAAATTATCATGTGCTTTACAAATTCCAAGATGCTAGTATATTCCAAGAACTGAATCTGTTTTAGTCTCATTTAAATATTTAACCTACTTGTGCATTTTTTCTTATTTATATGTATCCATACACAGTAAATCTCACAGCAAAACATTATGAGCTTCATCCAGTGTTCCTTTGTCAAACACAGTAATGATACTTAAATACTCAAGTCTTAAATACTTCACAAAATATTACTACTGAACAAGAGCGCCATCCTTCCAAGAGAAAAAATCCCACAGATTTAAGGACGTTGCAGTAATTATTACAAATTCAAATGGTCATTTAATCCCTAGATTACAGAATAATTTAAGGTGGATGAGACTTGTTCTTATCACCGAGTTCAACTCCATGTGCTCCAGAGGGACCAGTTACACAGGCTGACCAGAACTATGGAGGCCAGCTGCTTTTGGAATATCTCTATGGATGGAGACTCCCTGTGCAGTCTGTATCAGTGGTTGACCACCCTTAGAGCAGAAAAGCATTTTCAAATGAAATCTCACATGTTTAAGTCAGTGTCTGTCGTCTCTTCTTCTGTCTCTGGGTGCTAGTGAAAAACTATGTCTGTTTCCCTGGTCTTCAGTCCCCTGCCATCATGCACTTATACACATTGATTAGAGATCCACTCAAGATTTTACTTCTCCAGGCTGAAATATGAAAGACGCTCCAATCCTTTTGTCATCTTTCAGGTCTTGGAATGGACTTGCTCCAGTAGCTCCATCTTTCCCTTGTACTGTAGGAAACCCACAGCTGTGCCAGTACTTCAGATGCAGCCTCACCGGTGCAGCACAGAGAGGAAGATCTCCATTGACTACTGTTAAGACTTTTTCTAATGCAGCTGAAGATACTCTTTATCCTATAAGTGTGCACTGCTGGCTCATGGTCAGCTTGTTACCCACCAGGACCTCAGGGCCTTTCTCAGCAAAGCTGCTTTCCAGCTAACAAACACTCAGCACGTGCTGACGTCTGAGGTTATTCCTCTCCAGACACAGGACAACACATTTTCCTTTGTGGAACTTCATCAGCATTCTGTTTTCAGTTCTCTAGTCTCTGAATGACTGCATAACCACTGAGCATACAAACCACTTCTAGATTTTCATTGTCTGCTAACCTGCTGAGAGTGCATGCCATCCCACTAATGAAGATGTTTGCTCCAGTATGGAACATTGGTTTTTTGTCACGGAACAGAACTTTCTGGGCCCTGTATTCAATCTAATTTTCAATCCACCATATTGCCAACTTAACTTGTACTATGTCAGTTTGTCTACGATGATGTCAGGTGAGAGAGTGGCGAGGGCACTCCTAAATTCAAGCTAACCAATATCCAATTCCCAGCAATATCCACCGCTCAACTGATTTTTTTTTTTTTTAAGGCCACTTCTGTTATATCCTATTTTGTTTTGATAAAAACAATGTAGAGGAGTATTAGTACACAAACAAAAATGATGAGAAACAGTGTTACTGAGGTTTTCTCCAAAAGGCTTCAAGATCCACTCCTACTAACAGAGGAAAAACAGAAGCTGCTCTGTGCTTAATGAAAATAGACAAAGTGGAAAGACCGCCACAAATGCCAGTTGCTGAATATATAGTATTTACCCTGTAATACCGTTGAAAGAAAGATCAGTACTACATAAAACATGAGATCGTGTTTGCTGCCCACATTAAAGCATAAAACAGGATGGTAGGTTTTTAAGACAATACTTAGATTCATAAATGCAGAACCTTGTTTCTATATAAACTACCCCAAAATCCATATATCTCCAAGATTCTGAGCTGAGTTTACAGAAAAACTATAAATATTGCAACTGCACAATGATTCTGTGTATAGTGCTTCTTCTACTGCACACAACAACAAAAATGTTTGTGTATATATCAGATTTTTAAGAAAACATTAGAACTTACTATTGATACAGATTCAAAAGCACAAATACAGTCTAAATTAGCAAAACCTACCAATGCATAGTTGTTCACATTTTGAGTCATAAGTATTACCATAACTGTAATACCACAATCAAAACATATTTTATGTGGAAAAATTTTACAGAAAATCAGTATGTTTTCTCATACTATCTTCTTCTTTGCAAGTCTTTCAAAATACTTGGAAACTAACTAACAGTCAATATTAAGAGATGCTTTAATCTACAGCTGTATCTTCCAATTCTTATTTAAGATGACTTAGCAAACATTCTTGCTTGGATGAATGCTGCTTTATGACACAGAATTGGATTTAAGTCTTAAAAAAAAAACAAACAACAAGCAGACAACTATTATTTCAAAAATGGGACTATTCCATATTTTAACTGCACAGCTGTAATCAGTAACATTTACCATGTAAAAACAAGTCAAATAGAACGTTTAAATCAGTAAACACTTTCATTTTTGTTAATCTAGTTAAGCTATCCAATTAAATCCTAACACAGTTGCTCATAAGGTTTGTATGGTCCAGAATACACAATTAGTAAGCTATGTTTATCTCTCAAATCACAACCAAGAATCTGAATTCCTTTTAATACATACATAAAAACAAAACTCACTAAATAGTTTTCATCCTGGAACGCGTAATGTAATGTTGTGATCCACTGGTTATCTCCATTCACTAACACATCTCTCTCTTCTCGAAAACATGCTGTCTGAAGGGGGAAAAAATAATTATTATACAAATTTAAGTAAAATACACAAAGAAACATTTTGCAGGTTGGCTTTTTTTTTTTTTTTTTTAACATCACACATGGAAAAAAATAAATAAATCTCACTCTTAAAATGTCATTTATTATATTTTTCAAATACACCAAAATCTGTGTAAAATGTGTAAAGCCCACTTTCTTCAAATGTGAAATTATACTACTTCTACATAACTAAGTGATGCAAGGGGCGAAAAAGCTGCTGCTTATCATTCAGTATATGATCAAATAGATCAATAAAGATTAATAAAAGTGCTATAAATTGAATAGGACAGAAGAACTAGAACAGGGAGCCTTCTGTCTTCATCTCATCATGCCACCAGTCTCTCACCATGATATACTGGAAGGAAACAAAGATGACAAAAGGTGCCTTCATGCCAAATATAACAGATGAAGAACAGCGAGAAATACTAAGGATCACTTCAGAGGGGAACACAGCTTCATAAGAAACAGAGGAAGATAAAATGCAAAAAAAAAAACAATTCCGAAAGCAGGAAGACATTGAATTCAATGGAAGTCCTGCACCTGCCCTAAGAAGTGAATAAAATACATTAAGAGGAAGAACTTTACGGAATGACCACTTCTATAAACAAAAGACATCCCAGACCTCTGACATGGTTATTGCTGGCTGTAAGATTGGAGAGTAAAGAACAAAGAGTGGAACAGCCTTTTAGGCTGAGGCATGCAGAATACATTCAGAACAAATTAGATTCCTCCTCCAATCAAATAAGCTGTAACAGTTCTCATTTTTCACGAATACAGTGAGTATGAATGAGAAAAAGAAATATGCTATGTTTTAATCAGAGCACAATGCATGAGATAAAGCACTGAAATCTGATTAAATACTTTAAACAAATATTGTCAACGGTTATTAATCAAAAAGTAGACTTGAGGACAGGAGGAGAAAGAGGATGATCTTCAGAAGGAAGAACAGCTGCTCATGCCTCTGTTACATTTTTTCCTTCCTTGTTTGTAAACTCTTAGGATATTTCAGAAGGAGATACCAGAAACTCTTCACAACGATGACATGTAGTTTGTCTACTTGTTGTTTCACAATTCAGAGGTTATATAATTCCAGTTGTTTTTGCCATGATTTAACAGGAGGCTGTGCATTCCTTGTGCACCCTAGACACCTACATCTGGGCAACGTGCCTAGAGCTAACAGCAACAGCTATTATCACAGCAGATCAGTTGAGACAGTGCACAGCCGAGTAGTCTAAGTGGTTCCTGGACTTGGTGTTAATTCATAGCCAAAAAAAGATGGTAGAAGTGGTTCCTGTAATTACTCTAAGTGTTCAATTGTATTCATGCTTTTTTTTTGTGCCTTTACACTGCTTCCATATGAGAAAAATCTAGAATAACTGTAAGTGCATCAGTGTAAAAGCAATTGATATATCAATACAACTCTGTTTGCACAAGGACATATAGTTGTTTAATGTAACTAATAACTGAACCTATTCCCTAAAGGAAGGTTTGCATTTGTGCCCTCCCTATCTAGCTCGCCAGAGAACCATGTAGCTGAGTGCTTCCGTCAGAACACCCAGAGCATAGGACAAAGCAATACCTTCTCATGGATGAAAGGAAGAGATGCACAGCAAATTCTATTCTTTCTTCCATAGACTCAGTATGCATCTCTGGGTCTGACTTTTTTCAGAATGTAATGACTCCGGCCTTACTGAAACCTCTGTAAATGGGGGAAAGACTGAATGCTTTATCTCAACATTACAGAATCACAGAATGGCCAGGGTTGGAAGGGACCTCAAGCATCATGAATCTCCAACCCCCCTGCCACATGCAGGGCCACCAACCTCCTCATTTAATACTAGACCAGGCTGCCCAGGGCCCCATCCAACCTGGCCTTGAATACTTCCAGGGACGGGGCATCCATAACCTCTCTGGGCAGCCTGTTCCAGCACCTCACCACTCTCACAGTAAAGAACTTCCCCCTGACATCCAACCTAAATCTTCCCTCCCTCAACTAAAAACCATTTCCCCTTATCCTGCTGTTATCTACCCTTTCAAAGAATTGATGGCCCTCCTGTTTGTAGGCTCCCTTTAGGTATTGAAAGGCTGCAAGTAGGTACAACAATTACATGCACTCTTCCTTAAGCACTGTCCATGTGAACTGCTGGCAGAGACTTGTAGAGATCATCTGATCAAACTCCCTTGCTCAGACAACTCAGTGGTCTGCAGGTACATCTATCACGTTATTGTGGCCTTCAACCATGATAGCAAAGATTCAGGTTGTGGGTGTCTTAGCAGCTCAGTGTTAGCACTTCCAGAAGCAGTGCTGACTGCTTCCACGCTGCCTAATGCATGCCCTGATTTCTCCTGAGATCTCTCCTCAATTGGCACTGGTGTAGCACAAATGCACTCATGGTAACAGGTCTGAGAACGCAACAGGAAGCTATTGCAGACATTCAGGTTCTCCTTGTATCGGTAATGTCCAGCTCTATACCACGTCTGAATTATCACAGGCAAGCATTTGGAAAACTGCTCTTTATAATACAAAAGCGGACAGTGACCTCATACATCATTTAACTTCCTTGTAATGAAGTTTTGCATACAATTAGTCTCTGAGTTTGCAGTGAATACTTCAATCTGGCATTCACAAACCTCCTAACACATACTCCCTTTGTGTTTTCACAAATGAATCTCACTTCCCATGAAGACAATACAGGCATATACAAACAACTTAACTCTGCCATTTACACATACACCTATGTGCTTATGTTCTTGAACTGTGTATTTTTCCCATGTATTTGTGTTAATGCAGCACACAGCTAACAGAGCCAAAATGAGTCATCGCTGTTCCAGAAGTAATGACAGCAATTCATTCATCGACATTATGAGTGACAGGTTATAGCTGCTGCACATCATGCCTTGTAATGCATTTTCCCTCCAGATGGTTCCCTTTCCTCTGCATGCCCATGGATTACAAATACATGGAAAAACAGAGCTGTAATTCTTTTTAGGCTAACAGCTCAGACTTTCAGAAATTAATCTAGACTCAAGGGAAAAGTATTTTTAATACCTTTCACAGAGCAAATCTTGCAAACCTATTTATAACTTTGATTTAATGGAAAGAATTGGCAATTAAACTAACTTGAAAAGTGTACATCTGAAAATAGAATGGAACTTTCTTCTGGTATTTTATTTTTCAGTAAAATAAAACCTACCATAAAGACACGTGTCTTAAAGAGAAATACCTCTTTGTATTAAGATTGTTCAGTATCTGAATAATTTTTCAATTAAGATGAAACCCATTATGTATATCTAACAATAGTCTGCATGCCATCTATACCTCTTCATATAATAATATTTTCATTAAAAGATACAGGATCTGATGCGCAAACATAAGAAACTGGCTTTAATTCATCCGCATAATTTCTCTTATTATTTCAAGTGTGATGGTTTCCCATTGATGTTGAAGCAACATTTTTGCTTTTACTGAATTTTATGAGTCTATTTTTTTTAAGCACTTTATATTCAACCACACCTAAATCAAGATATCGTGCCATCAACCCTTCTTATAAGCTGCTTTAATCTTATTTTAAAATTAATCTTCATACTGTCACTGAGTACTGAAGCACCTCCTTAATCTCCATATACACAGTTTTCTAGTTGAAAAAGTAGTAATAATTCAGAACAGTAAGAGGGTACATGATTACTATAAAGAACATTTCTCTAATCTTACTTCAGCTCTCTTCAGCATCTCCCACTTATTAAGGATCTTCATGGCAAAAACTTTATCTGCATTCTTCAGTTTTACTACTGCAACCTGGAAAAGATAAATGAAGGATAAGCTAAAACACTGAGAGACATTGTTTTTCATTTCAGGAAATCTTGAGGATGTTGTGTAATTGTTTTTTTTCTTCAGCATTTCTTACATTTAACTTCATTATCCATGCACAGTACCATACCATCACTATCCAGAAAGAGTAACATCACAGCAGTATAGGATATTTATTCTGGAAAAGATTCAAGTCTATTTGAAGCTTTCATTATATATCTCACTCCCATTAAACATCATTCTTTCCAAGTTTTGTAGATGAACAATGCTATTCCTTTTATCACACTTTTTGCTCTATCATCTGCATGAAGATACCAAAGACCGTACACTTCATGTTCTTGGACTCCTGCTTCCAGTATTACACAGTACTTTAAATTACAGACCCACCTAGAAAAGACAGCGATCTAGTAGTCAGTTATAAAACCAATAAACAATATATTTTAGGTTTTTGACATAAATTATGACTGTAGATCTGCTACAATTTCTACTCTCATTTCAAAAAACGCACTAGACTTTCTCTGAAGACATGGTAAGGTATTCCTTCACATTTTCCCACCTAAAGTTCAATGAGCCTTTTTATGATGTCTCTTGTCAGTGGTACCAAAACACTGAAATTCACATCTTCCAGAAAAGCAAAATTTAAGAAATACAAGCCCTGCTCCTCTTTGTTGTCTGTTAAAGATTACATATCATAGGCACATGTCATAATATATTAACAAAATCAACTGATCTAGTCTTTTTTTAAGACATTTATAGCTTGGGTTGATGATATCAAAAGCTAAGATAGAGTATTTTTAAAAGGGTAAGGGAAGAAATCTACATAAATGTGTTTTCACTGTCAGGATTTCCTGGGCAGGAAAGAAGTGAGTCTTAATCCAACTGGCCATCAATCTTTCACACACTTAGAGCTGCCAATCAAAGTGAGACAGACCCACTGTAATACCATCCCAATTATAGAAAAAGCTCCACTAGCAATACATTTTATCAGCCATTCCCCAACTACCCCATTCTGCCTGCTCCCTTTCAAATAAACCTAAGGCTTCAAGAAATAAGTTCATTTCTGTGTGCACTTGGTTACAAACCAGCATGCTTTCACTCAGATCATCATCTTCACCCTGCAGGTCAGTGACAAAAAAAAAAAACAAGATTGACTCCTACATTCCTTCTGCCTCTTTCATAATCAGCAAACTAAGTCTGTGCGAAAACAGTGATAACAGAAAGAACAAGAATATCCCACAAACATCTTTCCACCACCTTCAAATGTGTCATCAGCTGCAGCAGCTTCATACATAGGGCAAAAGTACACTTAGCAGAACTACAGTAATCAGATGTCTAACTTAAGTACATCTAAAAGTGTATCTTCTGCTTAGTGACAGATTCATTGACAAAGCAGCTGTCACTTCCCATATGGGCAGCAATGCATTATCAGTCCTGCTGCTGACACTGTTGCCTGGGGGCCTGGAAGCAAGAAAAAAAAGAGAGAGAATAGAAAAAGGTACTAGATCTACCTACATGTTATCTTATGAGGTGACATTTTTAGAGGCTACTACAAGCATAAAAACTGAGGCTAATGTCCAGACCTGAAATCCCTTCATGGTACTTTCAAATTTGAAACACAAAAGTGGATTGTTAGACAATCTCATGTTATTTCAAAAATCACATCCATACTGAGCATCATAGTTTTCCATAGGAGGAACAGATGAATCCTCTGTGGTGATACATGAACTGCTATGCAAATTTGAAACTTCAGTCTCTTTCTACTTTACCAGCTAGGAATTTGTCAAGCCACATCTGTATCAGTTTTTAATGAGAAATGGCAGGAAGAGAAATGCTGCAACCAGTCAGCATTTAAATTCTATCTTACCTTGGATGACATGGGTGCCCTCTACAATATGAAGCTACTACATAATTATGCCTCAAGCACCTGAAAGGATTCTGCCACTGTTGTGGAGAAAAATAAGCATGTTGGTCCAAGAGTTGACAAGATTGCTGCTGCTTGCAGGGAAACTTGATTCCTAGTTTTTTTTTTTTTTTACCTCCAGCACCACTGACACTGTAGGACAGTACAGGCAGAGGATTAGGCAGAACACAGGGATTTTTAATCCAACTTTGGGGTTCTTTCATTGCCTGCTCAGTGAAAGGCTTTTTGTGTGTTTGCTATGTTTTTTCCCCAAAAAACTATATTCCCTAGTCTCTGAATTACACGTGGTCATTTCATAACCATCTAAAATTGCAGTTCCCTATACAGCACTCACTTGGAGACAACCAAAGGAGTCACAGTGCTGCCTCTGGTTAACAGCTGGAGGACAGGGTTTCACACAGTTGAGGATTTGGTACCCTAGAATGTTGACCAGTATTGAACAGTGACTAAAGAATACAAACGAGTTTGTGTTTCCCAGCTGTGTTTACAATGAGAGGTAGCCATTTAGCTCATGAAAGTCATTAACGTTATTCCATATCAATAGCCACTATGTACATGCAAGACCAGATCAAAAACATCACGACTCCTTGGCAATCACAACACCTTTTTGCAGGTGTCTCAGAGCTTCATGGAAGTAAACTCTAAACTGCTTATCTCAGGATTTGACTGTGAAACAATAATCTGACACTTAACAAAGAACAGTCCAATGCAACAAAAAAGTCTGCAAGCTGATTAGAGACACCACAGTGCTTACACATACGCACACACACACTATGTGCTCTTTGTATAAATGCACAAAGACCGAGTGCTGTTTTGATGTACTCTCTTCCCCAAAGAAGCTGTCAAGACAGAAGAACGAACAGCCATTCCTAAATAGTTATCCTGAAGTGCCTTCCTACTGGAATTTACTAAAATTGGACACTTGATAAATATATATGTTTTTTTTGCGGTGGAAGTTTTGTTTGCTTGCTTTTTTTAATTTACGTTTTCCTGTGAGCAGCTCAACAAAAATTATTGGTATGTGCTGATGTAAACACTTTGGTTTAGTCGTATTTTTTTTTCCTCATTCCTCCAACAGCTTTCTGTACTTCTCACAAACAGCAGCACTGTCTGGTATTCTGTCAGTCACATATCTTCTGCTGCAAAAAGTAATGAACTTAAAAATAAAATAATAACTATGCATAATATAATGAAGCTCGGCCAGAAGCTACTACTGAAAAGGGAAAAAAAAGGGGGGGTGGGGGGAAGGGGAAGGCCAGCATTGGTTGATGAGGAGTAGCCAGCCCCCCAGGAAATGAGTTTGAAATGAACATATAGGGAACTAACAGCCTCATCTCTCTTGAGAAACTAACATCATCTGAGCATAGCTCTCCTTCAGCTTTTCTTACAGTTTCAGTCTTATGGTAAACTACGGATTGATGGCTGGGGAAGACTGTTACTGTTCATAACTGGATGCCAAAATTCAGGACATTTTTATACTGCTAAGAGACACCAGTAAGAACTGCCTACTGGAATCAGCAGCGTTCCTGTACTTTCCCTAGCAGCCTCCTTCAGTTTCCAAGCACAAAGTCTTCTCGTTTAGGGGCTGTCTATTAAAATTTGTCAAATCACATGCTGAAAGCAAGCACAATGAAAACACCTGATGTCCACATCAGGAAGACATCTGTGTTTTCTAAAGACAGCACTCTTTTACTCAAAATCTTAAAAAAGTAAACATATACATGGAGCGGGAAAGTAGACATCATTCATTTGACAAAAAGGAAGCATTCTCAGAATGATGGCAAGTGGCCTAAGGACTTAAGGGAAAAAGAAAACCATGAATCTCTTACAGTTGTAAGCCATCTTTAAACTACTTTTCTCCATCAAACTTGCATAAATAAAAAGGGAAATATTTATTGAGTATGCAAATTAAAGACATTGAGTAGTGTGAAAGCCTGAGACTTGCTACCTGGATTAGTTTTGGTCTTTACATTGGCTGGAAAGAAAGTCTCTTTTTTCCAGATTTCTTAATCTGTCTCAGCAAACTATTATCATCTACTGCATCACAAAGGTATTTCACAGTTGAATATTAATATACTGTTCAGTGGCTAAAAGAGTAGTAAAATTTGTCTGCCTTTCTTTAAACATTGCTGTAATTTCACACAGAACTTGTTTTCCTAGACAGATGTCTAAGTAAGACTTGAAATTTGTTTTTAAACTAGTCAGTATACTTAAAATATATCAATACAAGTATTTATGAAGTCCTTATTTAAGAACATGTAAGAACAAGCTTTCATTGAGAGAATTCAAGTTTTCTCCTTACTGAAGATTTTCACAATTAAGTACTCAAGCTGTCTTTCTCAGGTAAGGCATCACAAAGAAACACTGTTCCTTGAACTACTACCTTATGCACAGTCTCCAGAAAAAGATGGGGAAAATTAAGCTCTCACTACTCATGGTATGATTCATTGCAAAGAAGCTTCTTAAGAAAGCACTACAGGGTTGGTTTTTTTTTTTGTGGTTTAGCCACTGTGCAGTTTGATGCTGATTCAGCAGACAAAAACAAGACACAAGGCAGGTTTTACACACGGTCCTTCTGACAAGAAAGTGCTTACATCAGTGATTTTTCTTGCATCTTATGTGATCTGTACATGAATTAAGCTGCAACTGCTATGTCAGTAATGAGAAAAGTCATTGTTTCATGCAGAAACATTTGTCTCAAAATGGTGAATCCAGCATTTTCTCTGTGGTAAAGGTTAAGATTAAAGACCAATTATCCATGAACGGATAATATTCATAGAATAGTCTTTTCTATAAAGAATCATTAGTCCAGACAGAGCAAAAACAACCAAAGGGTGATGAAGTAAATGCTATCCTTTCATTGTCGTTTTTACATCCACCCAGCAATGACATTTACACTGAGGTATCATCAGAGCACGCAGTGATATACACTACAGTAAAAAAATCCCTGTTCTTTAAAAAACTAACTACAGAAATTTGATTTTCCATAATCACAGATCAGGAAGGCCAAATTTTCACACTAAGCAAATAGATAAGCAAAGCTTTAACCAACTCTTCCTCATCTGCAATAAAGCCTTCAGAGAAGCTCTCAAACCATTCAGAAACAGTTTGAAAAACATTTCCCAAAGTAGAAGGAAAAGACTGTGATTTTAGCTCTTGGATTTTTTGAGGCAAATAAGCATATGTTCTGCACAGACTTCACATGCTATTCCCATTTTAGCACATTCGACCACACATAAAAAAAAATCAGCCACTGTTATATACAACGTTGTTCTTTTGACATAAATAGTGCCTTGCATGAAGAGGAAAGCACACGTACTTAGTATCAAGAAGTAGAGGCTGAGAAGTAAGATTTATTCAGTCAGGCTTCCTCAGCCTCTATATTCTTATACTCCTAGTGTCCATAAAAGCTAGTAACGAACAGCCTCATTTGACAACTTAAAATAAGAGATTGTTCAATTAGAAGCAGCAAAAGCTTTTTATTGTTCAATTGTAAGAAGAAATACAGGAAAACAAAGTTTAAATATAAATATAAAGTGACAAGAATAAAGAGATTTCTCTGTTTTGTCAATACCAATATCTGTTCACTTAAGTTCTTGAAAACTGCTTTCAGACAATTTAGTCATTAGTATAATCAGAAAAGACTAGATCTGTAGTAACTCGGCAGCGTCCATCTGCTGACTAGAAAGAACTAGAGTCAAGCAAATAGTTTATCATCAGATGGTTGAAACACTGTCTCGCACCCCATGTATACGTGTCTCCTCTCAAAATTTAAGAGACTTAAATAAACTACAATGAGCTGTCAGAGAATATATAAAACCAAATATACTTGCATCAATTGTTCGGTTGATCTATATCATCCATTACATCTGCATAATGTAAAATTTGTACCCATGTAATGATACATGGGCTGTCAACTGTCTCTCGTCAGCACCGCAGATCTGCAAAAGCATATTCAAATCCTTCCTCCTGCCTATTTCGTGCACATACCTCACCAAAGGCTCCTCGACCAATCACCTTCAGGATTTCAAAATCTTCTTTATGTAGACGCATCTGCTTCACTTTAGATGTAAATGGTTTGGCTGAAACAAAAGAGAAATATCAATCATTAAAAAACAACAAAAAACAAGATAACAGTAGCATAAAATAGATGTAATTAGAGTCCTGAAAACAACAGACTACTTATATATCTGTGTTCTATAATGCAATATTGTGAATTCAAAGCTGGAAATAATAACCAATAAAAACTAAGCTGAAACTGCTGTGAGTGTTTTTGCCCTGAAGAAAACAGTCCACTGAACAACATCGTCTTTTATGTTCATAATTGTCCACTGCATCTCTGTTTCATGTTATCTGTTACTGCACAAGCGAAGTTTAATATATTGAGGTATTCACTTTTGACCTTTGGATGCTATTCATTTCTCTATCAAACAGTTCTTGTATTTGATAGAAAATTAAAATGCAGATGAAAGATGACCGGTTTGAGTAGCGCTGGTCCTGATTCTGCATCACGCAATAGTTATACAGACAACTTCAAGAACACTTAATAGTTAATTCTTAGCTTCTGGAAGTGAGAACAGTTGTATTCACAAGGCATTATTTCCACATTTAGTGGAAAAACCACACAGGTATAAAGCTGATTTATAAAATGAACAGAAGAACCCAAAACAAAACAAGAGATGCCCACCCATCCAAATCCAAATCTGGAAATAAGATTTTTCTGTATTCTCATATAGTTTGATCATACAAGCCATAACATAACTGATATCACTACAGTACAAGACTAACAGTGTTCTTTGCAATTTTCCAATCAGCCCCATTTCTCCTTCCTAACATCCCTGGCAGTGCAGCAAAAACTGTACAAGCTGACACAGAGGTCAAGAAATCTGAACTTAATTTTTTCTAAGATACCTCAGATGCAAACAGTAACTCTCTAACAGCAGTTTTGATTGTTCTAGCTCTGGAAACATCAGCTCTGGCTTCAAGAAAAAAAAACAGGTTTTAAGTTCAGATAGTAATAATACAGCCAGAAGACACAGAGATTTGCACGTAAAATAAACTAATATTTTTACCTTAAACTTACAATTGCTTCACTCAGAATATTTATGACAATTAAAGCACAGGCATTGTTTCAAGGTGTAAATTTTAAAAAGTACTTTTCTCAAGTCCACAGAGATCTCAAACTTAAAATCAGTTGTTCATAACTTAAAAAAAGAATAAAGGTATCAGAACAGGCAAAACAAGTGACAAGTCCTCCTTTACTTGGAGAACATGAGTGATTTAACACAAGTATTGGTACTACTGATGAACACTACTGAACAAATTAAAACCAGTCGTTAAAGTCTTTTAACTTGAAAAACAACTGATTGAAAACAAACCCGTCGTTCCTGACTTCAACATTTTTTGACCATTATAGGCCTGGCTAGAGTAACAGGCAAAATATCTTGTTAACAAGCAACAGCATAGCTGTTTAAACCACAAAACTCTTTCTCACTTTATATTGTAAGGAAAGGCCTGTCGTTCTTTAATTATTACATTTTGGAATCTTCCAGGGTTCCCATAGGGACAATGGAAAAATAAACATCATTAAAACTGATTCAGTAAAATACAACAGACTAAAATACGCTTGGATTTGCTTTAATGATTTGTAGTATCAGTGTTAGCAGAAAAGTTTGTAAACCCTTCTCTTTAATATTTTTTAATCATCTCTAGCAACAGACATGTCAATGTATAGCCAACAGTTTTAGGAAGCAAGATACAGTCCAAGAAAAGCAAAAGAGACTTGCCCTAGGAATGTGCTCTAAATAGCTTGTTCTAAAAAGGGTCAGTGTGCTTCATCATCAACGTTGTTTGTCTGCTGTGCAAACATTTGATATTTTTGTGGCAACAGCAATCTTTAGTACAGAAAATCTGTCCTGGTCAAGGGTCTTGAAAGGCATATGTTCAGACAGCAATTTCATGCATCGAGCTTTGCAGACTATGAGGTTAACGGGCAGATTTTTTGCAACTACTTTGGCAATGCTGTATGAGCTGTCATGAAGACAGCAAACCCCAAGGTCAGCAAGCAGTTTTCAAAATGCAATTTGCACAGAGGGGTCACTGCAATACAAAAGGCTCCTGAATTTAAATATTTGGGGATACAGCCCTCTCCTCTACCTACAGGCTGATCTCCTCTAACAGAATCATAAGCAAATTAACAATTAGAAAATAACATCCCCTTTATCAGAGGGTTGCAGTTTCCTTGATGAATACTACTGCCTGTCTGCAGCTCTTTAATAGCAAAAGGTGCCATGGGAGGGGTGGGCATTTCCTTTAGCACTTCATTCAATAAACAGAAATACAGAGCAATAGCTCTTCCCCCTCCTACATCCCTTTTCACAACCACTAAGAAAGCACCAAGGAGTAGCAGTTAGTTATGCCAAATTGAATTTTCTCTCCTCCAAAGCAGCACAGAAGTACAGGCAGCATGTCCCCTGGCTCGTGTGTTCATTCAGCTCAGAGATTCTCAACTTAGCAGGAGCACAATCTCATTATATAAAACTTATGGATTTGCTAGTATGTCATTTATGGCCACAAGCTGCTGAGTTGCATATAGAGACAGTTATTCTGAAAAATATTGATATGTTGTTGTTATTGCCACAGAGGTGGAGGGATACATCTTTATCTGTAAGAATTACTCTACAAAAACACTGGCCACCCAACCTGGCCAACACATTGGATCTTGATCTGCCTGGGAAAACTGAACCACCATCCTCTTGGCAAAGATTCCTTACACTTAATCAATTACATACGGCAAGAAAGAGCCATCTGACAACTCAGCCTCAAGGGAAACCAACATACTAGAAGCTAGGCTAAGCTATTTTCTAATGAGGTGAACCTGTCATGACTATTTTAAGTAATTTAAGTCTCTATTGGTTGTTCCTCACATTTTATGTTCGAGACATTCATTCCACTTCTGTTTACAAAGCAATCAAACCGGTCAAAAAAACCAACAGTATGAGAAGAATTCTATAATTGTTTCAAACTCTTCTAGCTAAAACCAGTCTGTAACTTCACCTGGAGTAACACGTTAAAAGCACTCTAAGCCAATCACCAGGGCTTCCTCTGCCAAACCAGACATACTGAGGAGCACGCATTTCAGCTCGTATGGGTTCTGAAGTAGAGACATCAAACTTGAAAAGCCTAGCAAGGTACAAAGTGAAGCATTCTGTAAGCAGTGCTAAGAAATATTTAATACCAAGATATTTAATTTTCAAACTGTTGGAGATAAAAGGCCACCTCCTGAAGAGCTGATGGGGAGGACAGCAACACTGTCACCCCAATGAAGTTTAGTACTGCCATTATAAATGTGCATGATAACAAACAACAAGCAATAGTAATTTAAAAAGCAACACAAAAACACACACAGAAAATAGAGCAGTACTGGAATCTCATTTGCAAAGTTAGTCTTCCTGTCTTGTTCTCTTTCTCTCCAGTTCCCAGTCTGCAGATTGCGCAGAGCAAGCCCTGAAATTCTCATCTGTCAGGGCTGACCTCTGGCTGAGGTGGCAGAACTCCTCCTCTCTCTCTCCCTCATCTGCAACTGACCCTTTCCCTCCCCAGCAAAGCACTGCAGAGGACTGGAGCTGCTTTATGCATGGGCTGAAATTAAACCCAGCAAGACGAGGATCAGATTGACTGTCTAAAGAAAGTGCTGAACATCTGCAGGCCTGGAGCTGCAACTAACTATAAACGCACACCCACAGCTGATTCATAAAGTTAATGAAACACAACAGGACAATGTCAGGGAATTCTAAATTCTCCTTGGTGCCTCAATGATGCCAAGGTTATTTTACTGGTAAGCAGGACAACTAACTCAGCTTCGATGAAAGTGTGCATCTTCTACTCGCAGGTCTCATTAAGGTATCTATGCCCTGACTCTCCAAGGAATGATAAAATGTGCTTCCTCCTCAGTAATCCTGGTGTCACACAGCAAAAGCAGCCTTCTGCCCACTACACTGCTCCATATAACATACCTCAGTAAGCCAAAGATTTAGAAACTAAATGCTGTATCCATCAGAACTGTTGACAGAAATGATGGAAGTTCATTATGAAGGATGACAACAACAAAAGAACAACAACAAAAAAAAGAAAACAGCAGCCATGGAAAAGCTGCTTGCCATCTCAAGAGAAATCCTCCTTCCCTTCACCAGTTAAAAAATAATTATAAAAATACACAGAGAGCGTTCCCTTGCTAAGGAGAAAACCCACACAACCTGAGACACTGTCACACCACAAACTCCCAGAAGGCTCTTGGCTTTCTCCTACCAGTTCTTGCAAACACAAAACCAACAAAACAAAACCGAAGAAGAAAGCAGAATACACCGAGATCTGCAGCTTTGAATTTGTGCTAAATTCCTGAAAGTTAACAAGTGTTTGTATTTCACATGTTCAATCTTGAAATTATTTTCAACTGGCTTTATCAGTCGTGATTATGAAATGCAGTTAAGAAAACCACAACTGGATGCTTCAAAAAGGTTCAGAGAAGAGGTGTGAGAATGCTCCGTCCGAAACCAACACAACTCCTCTAAATAACAGACAGTCAGCAAGGCAGAGCTGCTGAAAGAGCTGTTCAATTTAACTAAGAGATGAAGCATCCCCTCCTCTCTACCCACCTAAAACTGGCAGGGCAGCACAAGAAAGCTTTCTGGCAGCTTCTTATCTCCTTGGAACATATCAGGGACAAAACACGGCAGATAATGGCCGAACCACAGAACTTTATTTAAGACTATGTAAAAAAAATACAAGCCTCAAATACCCTTCTCAAGTTTTCACTGTTAAGATTCAATTTTCAGTCCCTCAGAACATTTTTAACATGTTTTTCCTGATGAACAATTAAGTGCCAACATCTGTATGCACAAGTTAAGAATCTGTCATTTTCCAAGAATGAGAAGTATGTCCACAAATTCCTGTACTATGGTACAGACAGACACAATATTCTGGATCCTGAGGGAAAAGAAAAAAAAAGTAATCTGTTCTCATCTAGGTCAACTGGAGACCATCCAGCCATCTTTGGCTGCAACTACCACAAAAGATTCTTCAG